TTTTTTTTTTTGTTTCTCTTTTAAATATTTGAAATGGTTCAAGCAATTGTAAATGAATACTAGAAAATGTTTGGACATTGTTTCCAATCGCCGTTCCTTTTTGCTTCCCAGTAATTGCCCTTATAAACGTGCATCAAATGATCGAAACCTTCGCAATCCTCGTCTTTGACCTTTTTAAACCATAATGGTTCATATGGGGTATATGCACTTTTACTCGATGCAGCTGATTCAGCTTCGGCTTCACGTTTTCGGCGTGTGGAACGTTGTTTCTCTTCAAGCCTGTGAATCAATTTGAAATCAGTAGATTTTATTCAAAAGAAAATTAAACATTTCTTTTTAATTTCAAGTAACAGCATTGATTTATTTGAATAAAATTACCTAATTTTTTCTTGATTACTTTCTTCCCAGCGACCCTCTTCCATGAGACGTTGATCGGGTCGAAGTCTTGAATCGGTGGGTGCAACACCTTCTTCCATTTCATTCAATTGGCAAGCAAGTTCAGTGAAATTGTAATATCTAAGTGAAATAAAGCATGAGAAACATCATTTTTATGTACACTTTTGCAGATCACTGTGCGCTCATATCAATACATAGATTCAGATAGGTTGTAAACATGACTGTGCACTTTTGTACACTTTACTTACTTATCACTGTCCGGTGGTGGTAAACGACGTGTCCAAATTGTCGTATAATTACCAGTTTGATATACTGGATTATCAGCGGATCCACTAACGCTGGTTACTGCCGCATATTCTACTTTACCATCCCAATTTCCATTGACAACGAATTTGGCTTGACCATTCGGATTTGTTATGACACCTTTAACTTTTCGTTGTGAATCTTTTGAAAAATACGAATATGGAATAAATTTCAAATGACACTTGTATCCTTTGGCCGAATTCCTTCCCATTATGTTCATATCGCCGTGATGATCGACCCATAATTTACCCACAATAATATTGTGAATTGTTGTTGTTACCTTACGCCAACCATATCGATTGCCGGACTTATTAAATTCCACATATGCATTGCCCAATGGAATTACTTGCAAATATTTTCCACGAAATTTCGATGTCATTGTGAATTCTTGCCAGCAAGCCCATTCTTTACCTTCACAATGCATTGCAGCCATCGGTGGATGGTGGCTTACTTGTTCGGCTATACAACGCCAACCCAAATCATCGGTTCTATCACATTCAAATGTTTCGCCTGATTGATATCAAATTGATTAATTTACGTTTCATTAAAAAAAACAACAAAATTAATAATGATCAAAACTGTACCTAATAAGGGATTGAAAGGTTTTCCTATACGATTGATCGTCGTCGAATAAGATGATACTGTGAATGCGGCAACATAAGCCAATTGTTCACATGGATCTGTACAAGCGGCGGCTCTATCAAGTAAATCAGTATATTCATAGTCTTCGGTTAAACGTTGTAACATAGAAATAGGTTCATTGAAGTTGACGGGCATTGGAATTTTTGATAAATCCTTTCCTATACAATTTTTCATAATTGACCACAAATTAACCGAATGATTTGGCTTCTCCTTGATACGTGTACGTCTTGGCTTGCGACCGATTTTATTTACAACGGCATTGCTAATTTGATTTGTTGCTTCGACTGAAGGCGTTGAATCATTATTTTTCGATTGTACAGGAATCTTAAAAAGAAAAAAAAACAACGAATTGAATATTAGTCACTTTCGGTTTGGTTACATCACTTTCAAATGTATCACATACTTGTAGGGATTTATTTGATTGCGGCTCGGTTTCACAGCTATTTAGTTCTTCGCTTTCAGAGGAGCTACCTCCGTTAATGTCATTCATGCTTCGTGTTGGCATTTTAAGACAGAACGTTCCGTCGGTCTCTGACAGTTCTTGTGCATCATAAAATTCATTTTCGTCATCATCAGATGTTGTCGAACTCACCGGATCTAAAAATCGAAAAGACACATTTGATTTTCGTTTGAGGAAAATTCAAAAAGTGCAAAAAAAGACAATTACTTGGCCGATGACGATGTGCAGCTGCTTCCAAATGTGAATGCTGTCTTGCCAATTGTTCGACCATTTCTTGTAATTGTTGCCGTTGATCACGTTCGTGTTGTAACATTTTTGACCACTTATGCCCTTGACTTTCAGCTGTATGAAGGTAATCACTGCAAGCCTGTTGGCGAAAAAATTATTGCAAATTACAAACTTCATCAAGGACAAGGTCCAAGGATGCGAAAAATACTTACGTTGATCATGGCATTCGAAGAAATACGAAATAGTGTCGCACGCTCAGTGACTTGTTTGGTTTTGCTCGCCAAATCGTCGCCACTCTCCAATTCAGTCAATGCGTTTTGTAATGCTCGACCGTTTTTCGATATAAGATCGTTGCAAGTTCGTAAATTTTCCAATTTCGATGAAAGCTCCGTAATGGCAGCATTCAATTCTTGACTGGGTACCGATAATACGTTCTTGTCGTCCTCCTCTTCGTCGATTTCAATAGCTCGGCTAAGTGAGAAAAACAAACAACAACAAATACGTTCCAATTGAAAACAAAAAGAATTGTTATTTTGATCATTCATACACGCAAACACGATCATTTATCGCATATAGTGTACAAAACTAACACCTTAAACAAATAATATACAATTTTATCACCTAATTGACCTAACAACCATTGATTGTGATAAAATTTCGAAAAGAATTAAACATTTTACTTGCTATTTGATAAATAAAGCAGAAAAAAAAACTTACATTGATTTCGCTTTGGCTAATTCAAGTGCCGTCACCCAATTTTGACGTTCGACTTCGTTGCCCGCTTTGATGTGAAACGTTTGCGTTCCGCCGTTCGTAATGACAAATGTACATGAATCAACTGTATGTATGAGTGCGCTATGTAATGAAATCGTTCCGCGACAAGTTTGGCTCATTTCAGCCTGGTTTCTATAAATACGAATGCGATAAAAACGCGGCAAACAAGAAAATATACAAAATTAAAAATTAAGGAAAAAACCCGTTGAGTAAGCAATATAGAAAAACAATACATGCAAAATATGGGTGCATGTTTTAGAATTTATTTGGTTACATTTTTCATGAGTTTGATGCCTTTTCGTGTGTCGGTGCACTGCACTAAAATAAACACACACACACACAGCATAACGACAAAACCATGAAAACAACACAATTTATACATTATGAAGGTCATTCAAAGAGAATCAACAGCAGTATGAATGGAGGTTCTTTCAATTAGACTTTGTCATTACTGTGGCGCTCATCGATTACATGTGAATCATTCACGATGTGTGTTCAAAATCGATAGAGAAATTAATAAATTGATTCGATGGATGTCAACGAATGAGCATCGTCTAAGTAATAGAGTATTCTGATTGAAATTGACACGAAATTGACCGCAACAACGCAAAGAAAGAGAAAAATGATGTGTGACATTTTTTCTAGATATAAAATGAGATTTTGCTCATTTCGAATATGTATGTGCCATTAATGCGTGCATATCTGATATCGTATTTCGTGTCTGTTGCCACATTCTATTATATTTAAACATGAACGCACGTTTATTCTATATCATTGCCGCAATACACATACAACAACACAGACAACAACAAAAACGGTGGCGACAGCGTTATAGGCAGTCGCAGCAGTACTAACGTCGCACTGATGTTTGTTGATATTGATATATAGATTTTTTGCTGTGTTATTTTATTATATGTTGCATATATGATATCACACTAAACGAACTCATGAATCAACGTTTCAACACATTCACAGGTAGTTGATTTTAATAGATTCAGGTTATCGAAAAGTGATCGTCCACTTTGTGAGTTTATTGAAAAATTGGTTTTCCGCAGTCACGAAGAAATATATTATTTCATGCACAATATTGTTGTGACCATTACCTGTAGTAAGATAAAATTCCACCGGATAAAACGAACCAACGCCGTTGATAGCCTTTAATGTAGTTTGTCCATTTTAGTAAAAATCCTTTCATCTCCACATCATTTCGATTGTCTGGTTTGGCATTGTTTGCGACCGAATTTGTTTTAGCCACTGCTTCAGCCATATCTCCATCTGTATTTACCCGAACACCACCACCAACACACTCTACAAATCCAACAATTAACCGAAAACAAACTATTTCGCCCACAATTTCGTCTTTTTTCACTTTAAATCACAAGTCTTTCAATTTTTTTCTTTTCTCATTGTAGAAAGAAAAAAAAAAATCAATTGCGCAAATGTGTCACTATTAAAACGAATAAACTAACATCGTAGAGAAGAATTGAAATAAAATAGAGGAAGAAATTGTTTTAAAACGTATCCCAACAATGACTAAAAAAACTAATTTAACATTTTTTTTCATTAGAAAATCCGAAAATGTCAACCTGCGCTAAAAACACATTAATGTAGCCACGTTCATTATATTCTTACACTGACTTTGAGAGTCGCTTTTCTTTTCACACAATCTATGTGGTTTTATTGCCTTTGCTATCGAATAACCCGTACAATACATCAAAGATATGAAGAAAAAAAAATGAAATACTGTCACTGTGTGATGGAATTAAGTTAATTGTATGAGTAAAATATAAAAGTGCACAAAACCACACAACACAATTTGATTTGCTGACAATATGTCATTAGTTTATGTCTTTTTCCCTGCAATTTTTATTCCAATCGAATTGGTTTTTAATGAACTTTAACAATAGACATTCACACTGTTACTATTAACATTGGTGTTTTGTAATCATGTCTTTTTTTACATTAGATGGAGAAAACACTTGGCACTATTGTGTATGCATTTCTATGCCCAATATTCACACAATACCACATAGCAGCCACATATCAATGAATATCTATTTCGTACAAATATTTATATATACTTGTGTACACACTCGATGTGCGCTGTATTCAATGGATTTTCAGCACCATAAACTGTCAATGTCACTTTTCGTTGCTGTCATCCATTCATCATTTGTTAGTTTGCTTTGTTTCAACACAGCGCACACGTGTTTTCTTTTCCAGCGAAATTGAATTAATCACCCCAAACGAAACAAATAAATAAATAAATAATGGTCGAAATTAATAACGGAAAAATTGAAGAAATTGAAAATCTATTAAACGACACAAATCGACCGCTGAAAGAGCGATTTCGTGCATTGTTTACGTTGAAAAATCTTGGCGGTCCAATTGCAATTGAAGCCATTGCAAAATGTTTTGCAGACGATTCGGCTCTATTAAAACATGAGCTGGCATACTGTTTGGGTCAAATGCAAGATGCTTCGGCCATTCCACATTTGGTGAAAGTTATCGAAGACAAATCACAAGAGCCAATGGTGCGACATGAAGCAGGTAAGCAGTAACGATACAAACAACTGATTTCAATTTGATTTAAAATTCTATTGAATATTTATTTCAGGTGAAGCGTTGGGTGCAATCGGTCACCCAGATGTGGTACCAATACTGGAAACATATCGACACGATCCGGTTGTTGAAGTGGCCGAAACCTGTGAAATCGCATTGGAACGTGTAAAATGGTTGCTTGCGAACAAACAAAATGTAAAGGACGACAATCCGTATGCATCGGTTGATCCATCACCACCAGCTGAAACAAAGGATATTGCCAAACTCACCGAAATCCTTTTGAATGAAGATGAAAAACTGTTTGAACGATATCGTGCAATGTTCAGCCTTCGAAACATTCAGACCGTTGACAGCATAAATGCGTTGGGAAAAGGTTTGAAATGTAAAAGTGCATTGTTCCGGCATGAAATCGCATTTGTATTGGGTCAAATACAAAATGAATGCAGTATTAAAGTTTTAACCGAGAATTTACAAGATGCAAACGAAAATGAAATGGTACGGCATGAATGCGCCGAGGCATTGGGTGCCATTGCAACCGATGAATGCATTGATATTTTGAACAAACATTTACACGACGACAAACAAGTGGTGAAAGAGAGTTGCGTCGTTGCATTGGATATGTGCGAGTACGAAAATAGCCCGGAATTTCAATATGCAAACGCATTGACCAACGTTCAGTGATCGAGCTATGTAGAAGGGAAAACCGTTCGCTGAATGTGATATATTTTTTTATTTCATGTTGTATGGATTAAAGTAAAATTTATTTAAACTTTATGGATATGGCTTTTTCATTGAACAAAAAATAAATAAAATACTACAAAAATTCTTTTGAAAAAAAAAAAAATGAATGGTGCTGAATATTAAGTCTCATTCACACGAATCATTCACATTGTTCTATATGTACTGTGTACGAGTATTAATTATGGAAAAATTGAATCGAAACCACATCTGTCAAACGCAGAAGATCATAAAAAACACTGCCGCTGTTTATTTAAGTTTACATTTGTTACCTAATATTCTTTATTTTATTCGATAAAAATTTAAAGTAAAAAGTTCAAAATGTCGTCGAAAAAAGCTGTAGATTTATTGAAAGAAATTGTTAAGCGTTTTCATACATCCACCGGATTCGAACAAGTTTTGAAACATGTTAGTCTTATTTTCATCGATTTTCATGGTCGTTCTCTTTTTATTTCAAAGTTCCAAGGCACGAATCGAAATTTATTGAATTATTTTAGGTTGAAATTACTGGTGGGGATGTTGGGCATTGCTTGGCCGAGTTTGTTGTAAGAAAGGAAAATCTAAATGCAGCCGGTGGACTACACGGTGGATTCACAGCAACTGGTAAGTTTGGAGTTTGTGTCGGCTGACGATGATGAACATGGACTTTTATATTTTGCTTGTTTGAGCGCAAGTAGCTAAAACTTTAAAATGCAATTTTGCAGTTGTTGATAATTTCACAACGTACGCTCTTGTCACCAAAAATTGCAACCCTGGTGTGACTGTTGATTTGCATGTTAGGTGAGCATTACACTATTTTAAGAGCATTTTTGTGAATTGTTCATTAATTTTATTGATATTTTCTCTCATAAATAGCTACCTAAAGGGTGCTCGAGAAGGTGACACAGTTGTAATTGATGCCAAAGCCGTTAAAACCGGAAAAACATTGGCTTATTTAGAATGTGAGCTTCGGAACAAAGAAAACGGACAAATTATTGCAAAAGGATCACAAACGAAATATGTAGCATAAGATTTTTCTTCAGAATTTGTTTTTATTTATTTTTATATTATCATCAATTTTTCTTTACTGTATTTTTGATGTGTGAAATAAATGTAATAAAAAAACTGTGTAAAATATGTTCAATTTCCTTCCTTCCCATATTATTTTGGAAACTGTCTTGCTAATAAAGGTGATATTTGTTTTAAAACGACTAAAAACTAATTTTAAATAAAAATCCCAATACAGTTTAAACGTGAATTTCATGTGAATCAGTCGCTTCCTCCCTCTGTCTGCTGTATCGATGTGTCAATCCTCCCTATCTATTCGACATTGACAGTTGTTGATATGTCAAATTAAATGTTAACACGAAAAACGCAGCGCAGCAAACAAACTCAATGCACATTATTAAAATCATAAACGTTTTGTAAGAAAATTCGAGAAAAAAAATTGCAAAAACCATTCGATAAACGCTAAAAAACTGTTTCATAAAAAATGGATATTGGTGAATTGTTATCGTATAAGGTAAAATAATACATTTAATACAATTTAAATATGCAAACATATTTTGGAATGTTTTTTTCTCTTCTAGCCGGAACAAACACCGAAACGGCCGAATGAAGAGCAACAATCGGATGGTGAGGAAGAGCAGATGCCCGGGTATACTTACTTTAAAAATTACTATTCCATTATTGAAGAATGCTATCCATTCTTTCGATTATTTTTCCATTACATCCATTACATCCATTTCAAAAATCACAATATCAATATCTATTTAGTATGTAAGAAATTAGTAAGGGTTTGATCATACACATATACACACATAAATTAAAAACAATTTGCAAATGAATTGAACGAAGCTGCGTTAGAAAACACTTTGCGACGACGATGATGGAGACGAGGAATGTGGGGTGGAGCGCGGAAATGTGGTAAGTACATTTGAATTTTTTTTTACTTGTACAATTATTGTTGTCATTTTTTCAACAGCATATTTTATTGATGTGTACATTGTATTAATGCAATTTTTTTTTATTTTTCCCCTGTCTCTATAGGTTTCAAACCTAGCGAAC